TTGGTTAAAAATTATTATTCTATTGGCCCAAAATTCACAGAAACTTTTGTCACCATGACAGTAATTAGTAGTTGACATACTGTGACAAAAGTCACCCGTGCGCGCGCGCCTTTACTACCTGCTCTGCCTGCACTTGTACTTGGTAACAGGGATAATAAGGATATGAAGTTTCGGTTATGGATACGGTTACGGATATTAGAATAATTTTATACCGGTTTCGGTTACGGTCACGGATAAGAAATCATTTCAGATTATCCGAAACTTTCGGATAATTTCGGTTACGGAATTATTCGAATTTCAAAAATGTAGGTATAATACAAATAGCAAGATGCTGCGTGAGCGTGACCCACATAGGTACTTTATGTACCAACTAAAACGACACCTATGTATGATAAAGGTAAAACAGGCTGGCATATTAGATGGTGCCAGCGAATGCCAGACAAGTTGGTAACAAATATTAAGATTTAAGGTACAATTCCAAGACGGGCCGCAGACCGCAAACAGCAAAACTATGAAATCGGCAGCGCGGCATTGCAGCTTCGGCGTGTATACTGCAGATTTCATAGAGTTTTGCAGTTTGGAATTGTACCCTTAGACTCCGTCTTTATCCGAAACTATCCGTAACTTTTGAATCAGTTTCGGTTAAGGTTATGGATATTTTTTTATTTCGGATATCCGATAGTTTCGGTTACGGATATCCATAACATCCCTGCTTGGTAAGATGGCCCTCTCCGTCCCGCTCATACCTTTTAAAATGGCTTCTCCACCTCACTTAAGCCAGAAACTTGAATTTTGGGCACATTAGAATAATATTTTTAACCAAGGTAGATAAACAGGGTGTCCACTGCAAATGTTCGAAAAAATTCCCTGACTTTCCCTGACAATTTTTTCAAAATTCCCTGACCAACTATGTAGTATGTATAAGGAAAAAAATCTATCTCAATTATTTTTTAACTTACACAATAAATTATGAAATTCGACGAAAATTGACACCCCTTATGATATTTTACATTACCACGACCACAATTTTTCAATTATTCCTGATTTTCTGTTTATATCGGCAACTTAAGTAGTGCTGCTGTTCACCCCAACTCTTCAAACCCCCAGAATCCTTGCAGTTTTGACACAAAANTTTTTTTTTTAGATAAAAAACTAAAAAGGAGTAATATAATTATGACTAAAAACAAAGTCATAATGTAGATCACTCCAAACCTGAAAAAAAATGCTTCGATAGTCAAGATCAAAGGTCTTTCCAAATTAATTAAATCCCTCATTTTACAATCACTGGGAAATTTCGGGAGACAAACAGTGTTTTGGTAGACAAAATCCCAATATTTCCCTGACTTTCCAGGTGACCCCTCTATTTCACTGACTTTCCCTGACTGCTATGAGCTTCCCTGACTTTTCCCTGACTTTCCAGAATGTGGACACCCTGAAAGTTAAAAACGGGATTATTTCCAATAAACAAAAATTGTCGACAATTACACCAAGATTTTACAAAGTGTTATACCATTTTGGAATCCTTACTAAATGCGCCAAATTATGACGTCACTTGCCACACTCGCGTAGTACAATTTTTTTTCAGTACAGTCAGTTTAAACTAGGCAAAATTTTTATTTTGATATTTTTTTTGGGAATAATGTATTTTTTTCATCCAAGTTGGAGCAGCTGGTTTTGTAATTTTGATTACAATTTAGAGAAGCTTTATTCAGGGTTACATAACAAAAAAAAAAATTTGGAAAAAGTGAAGATTTGTGGCAACAAGAGTAAAAAGACCGTCACCGGGAGTAGAATTTTTTGATTTTTTTTAATGGCTATTATTTTGACAAAATGTCACATAGATTTTTTTTATATTTTTCTGATAACCAGCATAACTTGCCTCAATACCCAGTTCCGGCTTGACATTACATTACGGGACACCCTGTATGTCCGTGGGCGTACCCAGCTTCTGCAAGTGACACCTCCCAGCCCTTGTACATTTAGTTTTACACTTACCATGGTGCAGTGCCCGCTGGTAAAGGTTGAGGTGCGCAAGGTGTAGGCGGTTGTTGCACGAGGACGGCGCACCCGGGCCCTGCGCTTGCGTCGACTCGCACAGCAGCCGTAGTGCAAGAAGTTTGCCGGCCCTACACGACAGGTTAAAAATATAAACTACTTAAAAAAGGAGACATAATATTTTTAAGATCAAAATTTTAAAAACGATTCTAGGAGTCTAGTAAATTCAAAAATAAAAATCAAATCAAAATCAAAAACATTTATTCAGTTTAGACCACAAGTGGCACTTATGAAATAGTAGGAAAATAAATGCCATGTGACAGTCCAAAATATAAAAAAAAATGTCTTAATTTGTTTAAGTTTTATGAATTACATAGTTACAAATCGACAAATATAATTTACATGTTTTATTATCCATTTGTAATACCAAGCAAACCTTGCAGTTGAATATTTAGCACGGCGTAGACGAAAAAAAGAAACAAAAGTTTATTTACTAATATCTGCCAGTTTAGTAGTGATTTGAAATAAAGTAAAAATTAATACACACTCAGTAGGTCATCAGAATCAATTAAATAATTTTAAAATTAATGACGTAAGTTTGATTTTTATTCATCATTTTTTATTTTCTATTACTAACCTGTGCGAAGGCGGCAAGGCCTCGGCTTCTAGACACCATCCCGCCACGAGATTAAACGGCACATGGATCTCCGTATTTCCATTTAGGGTTTGGTTTGCGCTTATCTGAAATAGAAAACTATCTTGAGCGATAAGATCAAAATATTTTGCCGTTTTCATATCACAAATGTATCCAGTGTGATAATAATAGAATGCTATCGATTTGCGTCTGTGTGCATTCCCAAAATATTGTTCCTTTCTTTTCCTGGAATGTTTATTACAAAACACTTTTGATGTTATTCACTATTGTTAATATTAAACGATGTTAGAACACTATATAAATCACGGGTAAGGTCACTCTTGCCTTTTCGTCCACCGAAAAATCAATTTCACTGGGCGATGTTTTCAAATTCACATTAAACGAAATATCCAAAAATTGAAACGGCATTGTTTTTGGTTCATTAACACATTTTTAGTACCATCAAAACCTCAATCTGTCAAATTGACATGAACAAAAACAATGGAGATTGAATTATTTCTAAATACCCTCCATAAGTGCGATCATTCTTGTTGTTATTTACGAACTCCGCAGATTTTTTGTAAATGCTCCTTAAAAATATCAACTAACTCCTAAAATGTTATCGACTGAATTTTGAATAAATTCCTTAAAGCTTAAACTTTGTCCAAAAATTTAAATGTAACAATTAACCTTTCGGAGCCTCCTCAGGAGTCTCCTTTTTCCTGCTCTTCTTTCGCATGGGCACTCCTTGAATACTTTCGAGTTGGATAGCAGCTCGCACAACCTTAGTAACACCATGCACGAAGCCCGCCCGACCTTTGACTGGGAATAGTCACTTCTTATAAAAGTCAACAAAAAAAAAACAAAAGAAATATTTTTCTAACACAACAAAGGATAAACGCGGCAATGGATGGCTATGAATGTTATGATTGAGAAATTCTACAGCGCGCCAAACGTCGAGATATCGAATGATAAGTTATCCCAGCAGGCCATGTTTGAGATAAAAATTAACAGATGCCCCAATACCTATTAGATGACACGATTTTATTGCGTATGTGCGATTGGTGTTGGCGGTGTGAATGGCTTTGTTATTTATGTTTCCTATTTTAGCGGGTAAATGAACTTGTTTGTTATAATATTCACTTTAGACTTAAACGTATGGGGTCACACGTCCCATTGCCGTCTTGTATTAGAACAAACATGCAAGCGAGTGGAAACTATTGATTCGCTACACTTAATCTTTCGAGATAAGTTGATTTATGACGTAGTGAGTGGACGCTGCATACCACTTTATTCATGAGGCAAACATGTTTTTTCACATTCATATTCAGAGTGCACGGTGAAACTTAGATAAAATAATATTATACGCAATAATATTTTATATCAATCTTTGTTGACTACTGTCAACAAAGATTGATATAAAATATTATTATTATTGATATAAAATAGTATTGAAATAGTCAAACAATAGCTATACTTAGCTATTGTTTGACTATTTCAATACATCGTGATTGTGATTAATAAACAATAATAAAATTGAACTATTTTAGGGCCTTTGAAACGAATTAAATGTTAATGAAAGTTAAAAGTTATTTTATTTAAACCAATATTAATTTTGACCTGTAAAATCTGTATTAGTGACAATTTAAGCGCTGTGGAGACAAGATATATTTCAAAATGCTATGGCAGAATATGTAGAACTTTTTCATTATAAGAACTATTGTAAGCACATTCTTTGAAATAAACTATTCTTCTTCTTCTTCAATGCGTAATGCTGTAATGCTATACATGTAGGCCTTGTTCAGATACGCGCGGTTTGTGGGTGTTTCTCATTGGCGAGGCACTGAGGCATTGAGGTGTCCATGTTTCGATGCAAACTGTCCGAGAACAGCCCAGTAACTGCGCGGATTCCGCCGTGTCTAAACTAGGCCCTATACTCGGGCAGAGCTCTTACCTTGAGCAGCGTGGAGTTGAGATGTATGAGGTAGTTTTTACGTAAGACGATTTAGGGGGGAGGGGGGTCAACATAGTCTTATTTTTCTTATAATAGGGGGAGGGGGTCAAAAACTACTGAAAATAGTCTTGCGTAATAAATGAATGGCCCCATACTGCGGTCACGTCGGGCAGCCGCCATTCTTTACCCCCACCACAGAATAAGTAATAGTACAGGTACAGAAGGTTTACTCCGCAAGACGATTTAAATAAATGCGAGTCTTGCTACGACGCGATACAGTGGAATTCAGCTCGCACAGCACTACGTACCTACAATTTTATTCACCTACAAGTTTTGTCTCTTTCTATCGCGTGCCTCTGAACTCTTCTTACGCTGTTAGGGTTGCTGTCTAGTAGTGTCTAGTAAAAAAATACTTAATATACTTATTTGTAATGAGGTACGTATGTAGGTAAGTACGCATTCATTATGGAAAACCTTGGGAGAGGCCTTTGTCCAGCAGTGGACGTCATTAATTTGCTGAAACGAACGAACGCATTCTGAGCAGTAGTCATGGTAGGTTAGGTTCCTATACTATCCTAAGAATTATTGATTACCTACATGGCCAACATACCTTTCAGCATCTTTGGGAAGCGAAAAAATCCGGTAGATTTCTTTTCGAATTTAAACACCCGAACGCCGTACAATAATATTTATTTCTATTTACGTCCATTTTGTAATAATACTTCGATCATAGAATTAGGTACTACAACGCACGCCAGCGTCCTGACGAGCGCGCGCGTGACACTCGACTGATATAATACCCGCCGGCGGGGCGCTGCGCTATAGGAAATTATCGGATGTACCGCGCGGAGTGAGCTAGGCCTGCCCCCACCCACCATCAGCCAACCTAGTCTTCAATGCTGTGGAAAGGAACCCACCTCGAACAGCGTGGAGTTGAGATGTATGAGGTAGTTGTATAGATGCGCGTGCGCATTACGCATGGAACATTTCATGAATAGCAGGTGAAAAATCATATGAAATGAATTTCATTAATCACACCTGCTATTTTTCTTCACATAGACTGCTATAATTTCGCAGTCAACGAAATCACGAATCACATGAATTTCATTCATTCATTCGAGCGAAGTCCGTGAGCGCTGCTCTGCTAAGTGACCGAGCGAGTAAGAAGGAATGATTTGATCATGTGCGTGTTAGAAAAGGACAAGAGATGTGATGACGAACGAAACTGAGCATTTTAAATATGAACTTTAAACTCAAAGGAGTAAGGTTTAGATTTCCTTGTCATGATTCGTATGATTTCATTAGATAGCAGGCAGATGAAATGAATGATTTTTCACTAGTCGCGCGGTTAGTGATTGTTTTGTTGCATACATACTGTGCTGCGGAACTGTTTGTTTTTTGTTGTGCGACATAAAATCAAACAGATATTAAGTCACATTCAATATAGGTAGNACTGATATAATACCCGCCGGCGGGGCGCTGCGCTATAGGAAATTATCGGATGTACCGCGCGGAGTGAGCTAGGCCTGCCCCCACCCACCATCAGCCAACCTAGTCTTCAATGCTGTGGAAAGGAACCCACCTCGAACAGCGTGGAGTTGAGATGTATGAGGTAGTTGTATAGATGCGCGTGCGCATTACGCATGGAACATTTCATGAATAGCAGGTGAAAAATCATATGAAATGAATTTCATTAATCACACCTGCTATTTTTCTTCACATAGACTGCTATAATTTCGCAGTCAACGAAATCACGAATCACATGAATTTCATTCATTCATTCGAGCGAAGTCCGTGAGCGCTGCTCTGCTAAGTGACCGAGCGAGTAAGAAGGAATGATTTGATCATGTGCGTGTTAGAAAAGGACAAGAGATGTGATGACGAACGAAACTGAGCATTTTAAATATGAACTTTAAACTCAAAGGAGTAAGGTTTAGATTTCCTTGTCATGATTCGTATGATTTCATTAGATAGCAGGCAGATGAAATGAATGATTTTTCACTAGTCGCGCGGTTAGTGATTGTTTTGTTGCATACATACTGTGCTGCGGAACTGTTTGTTTTTTGTTGTGCGACATAAAATCAAACAGATATTAAGTCACATTCAATATAGGTAGCTAATTAGCAATCGTTCATCATAATTCATACTTCATTAAAAGTAGCACATTATATGAAAGAGCTATATTTTAACACTGCGAATAAAAATCATTGCCTGTGAAATTTCACATGTGAAATCACATGAATAAAAATCATCATTTCATGAAATGAAAATGAACGGAAAATAGCAATCATTTCCATGCCTAGTGCGCATACGGGTCGCGCAACTGGTTGGCGTCTCCAAGCGCAGCTAGCATGCGGCACCACAGTACTGTGGCGACATCGGGCGACCGTCATTACTACCCCACCATTAGCCGACCTAGTCTAGTATGAGGTAGTTGTATAGATGCGCGTGCGCGTCGTGCAGCCGATTAGGGGCGCCGACACCTTTGTTTGTCACCTGTCATCCGCTTTGCAATGGAGGGAAGTCGAACCTTAATTTCGAACTCCTCCTTGTTCTTCTGATTAATTTCGTTGCGTGTCCAATGACAGTTTAACTGTCCCCCGTGGCGGTCAAGCTGTAGATCCTGGCTACACAGGAGTTGCAGTGGTGGGAATAGTCCCGTAGGGGCGCCGAACTGCTCTTACTAGCTTGCCTAGTGTTCAATGACAATGTATGACTCACCTTGAGCAGCGTGGAGTTGAGATGTATGAGGTAGTTGTATAGATGCGCGTGCGCATGCGGGTCGCGCAGCTGGTTGGGGTCGCCCAGCGCGGCCAGCATGCGGCGCCATAGCACAGCAGCGACGTCGGGCAGCCAGCCGCGCGCGGTGCCGCCCAGTACCACGCCGACGCCTTCGCCGCCGCCGCCGCCGCGAGCGAGTTCTACACCCGCGAAGCCCGACCCGCCCCCGCTGCCTGAGTCGTTCTCCGACCATTCTAGGGCGGGAAAAGTAAACAGTTTCTTCAATAGCCTTGTATTGTTTTTAATCGTGTTTTGTTTTTAATAGAACAGCGTCATTGTTGATTTAAATGTTCCATGATTCCATGCTTATACGAGCGTAATATCAAGTGGTTAGTTTAATTGATTTCGGATTAAGTTAGAATTATGCTCTGACTTGAGTGGTCATGGACTAAATTTGACCAATTGTTGGAAAATGTAACAAAAATGTGTTAAAACACGAATACAAATTATCTTGTTATTGATAACGTCTGTTTCTTACCGACATTGCCACCATCGGATGCCAAATCAATTTGTAATGGAGAATCTTTGATTGAACTGCTTTCCACTCCGCTAGAGGGCGCTGGCGAAGGAGACCGAGATCCTGAACAAACAATGCAATAAATTATGTAAAAGTCTTCTATATGGCAATTTAAAAGTATATATAAAATGTGTATGTTTCAGACTTACCACTGGCTGAATCACGCTCCTCATTTTGAACCGAATGCCTCAGTGAGTCCAATGAGTACCATCTTCTTGGCTTATTGTTAGGTTCTTTGGTTTCTTCTGTATACAAAAAGAAAATATGATACCATAAGTTTACAAAACAATACTCAGTAATAGCTTTTCATTATTAAACCAATAAATATTGTGATATTGCCCTATAATAGAGTTAGATACTGACCGTTGGAGAGCGCAGCAGCGTGTTTCCCAAGGTGCGGGTCGCTTCTCGCGCGAGCCAGCTGTCGCCGCGTGCTGCCCGTCTCTTTGCGTTGCTGCGATTCATGGCCCACCTTAGGGGACTTGCCTGAAGGAAAAATATTTAATTGAATAATTATATTTCATTTACTTAAAATGTATTAAGTTATTCTTTACTTTGAATGGTTTCGTGATGCCTTGAGTAAGTCGTCACGTGTCTGCACTGCATACCGATAAAGACCGATGAAGTGCACGTTGTTTACATAGCCACGTAGCAAGCCTGGGGCTAGTCTTATATGTTCAACATTCCGAGCGAGAAGTGAGTGGAACATAATACATGGTAATGTGAATACATTTTATTGACACACTGGTCACAGAGCTTTTGAGAAGAGGTATTGCAACTGAAATAGGCAGAGTGTGAACGGGACTATTCCCACGGCTGTAACTCTTTTGTGTAGTTTTACTTCCGAGGTGTCATCTCCAGTGACGTCACTCACCCGGCGTCCTGGCATCAGCCGGTGCAATAGCTCGCCCTCTCGGCGGGCGGGGGTGAGGCGCGGGTTGCGGGGCGGGGGTAGCACGACGCGCACGTGACCGCGAGTCTGCCGCACTCGTCTCGGACAAGTCGAGGGAATACACGTGTCTCGCCAATACTCGCGTGAGCGTCTCCATTGTTTTCTGTTCAAGGAACCGTGTTTATTCGTAGACTTTTTAGCAGTATTGGACAAGCTGTTTAGAGTAAAAATGGTGTTAGAGCGCGGGCGTGCAAATCATATAAATTCGAAGTTTGGAATGAGGGAAAATACATCTGAAGTGAGCATATCCTAATTCGGACATGTCTGGCTAGTGATACATAAAAAAAATTTCATAATCGAAATCAAATAACTTGATTTGCCTGAAAACAAAAGCGTGAGAAGCTCCATTTGTTAGTAGAAATATTTACATTCAGGTTAGTAACGAACCATATACCGAAGAAAGCCGCCTGCAAGTCCTGCAACCTTATAATACACAAGCAAACATTAAAATTGTGACATTTCTTCATACCGCCCACTCTTTGATCAGGTCTTCCCAGTGGGTGAGCCGGGACAGTAGCTCCATGAAGTTTTGCCACAGCTCCGGTTTGACGGCCACGTTCAGGTTCGCCTTGATCCACGTCACTATCAGAGTCTGGAACAACGCTGGTGCGAGGAACCCACCTATTTTAATATTTATGCGTTAAAAAATGCAATATATACATAATTAAAAGCATCATTTTATCAAAGCCGGTACATACCTAATGATTCTTGTTTCCGCTTTGGTGGTACTTTCGTTAAGACAAGCGATGTTATTTGCAGAAGAACCAGTAACAGTTGTTCCCTGGAGGCAAAAACGGAAAAGTTATAGTTAGATATTTGAAAAAAATTAAGGATCTTTACTAACTAAAAATAAAAAATAGAGAATAGTGAATCCGTACAAGGTGGCAAAGGGACAAATATGCGAACATTAGGCTTCTACAACCCGTTTGGTCAGCATGGTGAATGTAGGCTAATACTCTATTTGTCTGTAGTTTATTAGAGTCTGTGGTTTATCGTACTCCTGCAGTGGAGACTAAACGACCTGATGAGGATGTCAGAAGTTGATAATGATCCTGTCAAGTTTAGTGGTCGACTGTGTTGAAGTTCGCGCTCATCCGATTCAAATGCCGGTGCACGATATACATGATTATGTGACAAGAATATACATGATATATGACAACAGAGGACGTAGTGTGTTTACGTCAAACGTATTCGATGTTAGCTGCGTAAAAAGTGACATTAAATGGTTGACGGATTGTACAGCGCCCCTAGCGGAATCTTTCAAGAACTAAAATCTTCATATTTTTATTTATCGCGCTCTCTAGTGACGTTAGATATAAACTCACACTAACGCCCGTATTCACAAACATTACTATGAGGTCTCACTGTGCGCGTGGACGCACAGGGTGACACACGAACCAATCACTGAGCTTCTATTCAACGCTGTGCGTTCGATTTGCTGCTTCCCTTAGGCAAGCATCGTTTGTGAATACGAGCGTAAGCCCTCAGTCTACACGATATATGACAAGAGTACATACCATGAGTTGGCGTCCATAGCAACATGCATGACCATGTAGCGGTAGATGTTGAGCACGCGCTTGCAGGTGTCGGTCTGCTCGTCCAGCAGCTGCTGCTGGCTCAGCGCGCCCGGCGGCGCCACCGGCGACGGCGCCGCCAGGAACACGTTCGCCGCTTGCGTCATGAACACTTGCAGAACGTTCTGGGGAAGATAATAATAAATCAAATCAAAATTATCTTTATTTTTTTAGACTAGGGTTCCTCAATTTTTTTTGTCAAGGAACCCTAATTGATTATACTTTTCCTTGCGGAACCCCCGTACTACTCCGCCCGCACGCCCTGCCCCTCCCTTGTGCGTAAACAAGTCGGTGCGCGCGAACAACGTCGATCACGAAACGTGGGATAATATTTTTTACGGAATCCTTGCAGCCTTTCCACGGAACCCCAGGGTTCCGCGGACCACCTTTCGGGAACCGCTGGTTTAGACTAATTAAATTAGTACTTATTAATCGTCAAATGCTCTTAAGGTGCCTATACATGTCTCATTCTTTTTGTGCCCTACCAGCGCTTCGAGACAAACATTTGGCAAGTGCTGAGAAGAAGCGCCGCAACAAACTCAGTCACCACTGTCTGCCGGTTTAAAAATATAAAAAAGTAGGAAGTTACAGTTACAATGTGAGATAACAATAACAATGTGAGAATTGAGGTTTCATGGCGGATTTAGTGGTGGTCGTTGGGAGAAAACCCAGTTTTGACGTATGCGTATGCGCATATAAAGGGATTCTTTAACATAATATTCAGTTTAACTTGATTCGTGTTAAATTAAATGGTTGTAATTAAATTCGAAAATGTTTGGTTGGTGAATAATATAAATCTATGACAAACATATTATTTGATATTTAGATTTTAGACGACAGGGTGAGTGACTGTGATATACTCATTTATCAAGGTTGGGAAGCCCTTTGCTTGACAAATACAATACAAACGATGCAGGAAAAAGATGTAACTTTTCCTTACGTTATCATTTATCATTATGCATAATTTACCATAATAAGGCGGCAGACTTACCTAAATCATACTTGTATATTAAATGTTATCTTACTACATTCCTAGCTTCTCCAACTTTGTGCGCGTAGAAATAATTTTACTTGATTGAAACAGGTTTATTTTGTAATAAGGATCAATATGCGAACGTCAGGCACCCCTACACCGTATGGCTAGCGTGGGGAGTGTAGGCTAAATTCTCCATTTGCCTCTAATAAATATAATAATAAAGGTTCGCGCTCCTTCAGTGAATGGACTTGATGATCTTGATGCTTACCTGCAGGCCGGCTCGCACCATGACGTTGTCGCGGCCCACGGCGCCCAGGTAGGAGTCGTTGCGCAGGCGCCGCGGCGGCGCTAGCGGCTCGCCCGCCGGCTGCTCGTATGTATCGTCTGGTCCGTGAGCACGTAGAATTTTGTCCAATGACCCCAAGCTACCCATCCTTATCGCTCGCGCGTAATTATGATGCTATCGCGCTCCCACACTCACTGCGGGTGCCAGTCGCACAGTCGCGACAGCAATATAATTACGCACGAGCGATAAGGATGGGTAGCTAGGGGTCATTGGACAAAATTCTACGTGCTCACGGACCAGGCTTTAGTCTACATGAGGAAGATGCTTACCTGCAGGCCGGCTCGCACCATGACGTTGTCGCGGCCCACGGCGCCCAGATAGGAGTCGTTGCGCAGGCGCCGCGGCGGCGCTAGCGGCTCGCCCGCCGGCAGCTCGTATGTAGTCTCCATGAGGAACGGCGGGATTTCTGCCACCTTTCGAAAGAAAATTTTGTTATTTAAATAAATTAGGCTGGGTTGCACCATCTAACTTTAACTTTACTTATGTATTTACCCTATTTTTTGAGCAAATAAATAATTTGAATTTGAATTTAACAAACGTCAAATATCTGTCAAATTCCATACAAAAAGTACCGGTTATCTTCATAGTTACCGTTAAAGTTAGGTGGTGCAACTCAACCTTAATATATTATTTTTGTCTATTTTCACTATAAAAATTAACTGCTTGCTACATACTTCACTTAAAAATCGATCCACAAAAATTTTTATACAGAATTTTCAAATATGCGGCATTACGAATACATTTGTCTAAGATTCAGGCTTCTCCGCGGCTTAAAGATAAATGGTAAGATTAATGAATAAAGTCGTTTTACCATGCGAAAAGTACACGTAAATTAACCACATAGCTTATTTTTTCAGACACAAGCCTCCCGTCTGGCCAATGTCAAAATTTATTTCCCTTTGGTAAATTAGATAGGGTCATACAGCATGCTCCTGCAGTGGATACCAATGAATGCGCCTCCAGTGGCTGCATAGAGATGAAGACTACGATACTCACGTTCATCTGTATCCAGTCCTTGTAGAGCGCGATGACGCGCCGGACGGCGGCGGCGTGCGCGAAGGGCAGCAGGAAGGCCTGGCGCAGCACCTCGATGGTGAAGTCCACGTGCTCGCGCGACGCGCCGCACAGCACGTCGCGCACCACCAGCTCTGAGCTCAGTTCTTCGTACATGCCTGACGCTGCTGCAACCACATCGTCACCATGATCAGATCATTACATCACATAACCACGATAGCCGAACGGTGAAGGGGTCGGACTGGCCGACTCGTGATCCGGGGAACGCGGGTTCGGTCCCTGCCGCCGCTCGACTATTGTGGTGAGCTCACTCGTGACACAAGCATATTTAGCTTAGTACGAGGGGCTAGCGGGAGTAGTAATTTGTGTAATAACAAATTACTAATAATCTTTAAAAAAAAAAATAAAAAAAATAATAACACTTCCACAGTTAGTACTACCATAGTAGTTACGAGAAGATTGGGACCCTAATGCTGCTGTTAATAAGCGTTAAGTGACGTCACAAGACGTGTTTCTTTATTAGGCTCTGTTTTCGCGGTGCACGAATCCCGGGCCGCCCGGGCAGGCGCTCTACGCCAGGCACTCGTCACGTGCGCGGGCGCACGTTTGGAAGGAAACCCATCTCACACTGCGCTGCTAGCTCATATTATTTTTTGATACAGAGACGCGTGTGTGAAAATGCAGAAACTAAATAAATGTAATATTTTTTACTCCTTTTGTATGCTTCAAAATCTTACCTGACTCTAAACTGGGATGCGGCGTGTTAGAAGCTGAGTCATGCGACGAGGCCCTGCTAGAATCCGACGGGTGTCCCACAGTGAAAGAGGTCTCCTCCTCATGATGCAGTGACGCGGCCGGTGTCGGCGTGCCCGAGTGCGGCGCGTGCGAGCCCGTACTGGTCATGGAGGACGGCTGGCCGCCATCGCTGCCCTGCTTCTTCATGAAATGCGCGTAGCTAGCAATCCATTTAATGAGCGTCACGCGGCAGATCACGAAGTCGTCTTCTAAGATGTTGTGCTGCACTGGCAGTTCTAAAAAATAATAATTAAAAAGTTGTCAATCAGATACTAAAATGTGTTACAAAGTACAGACGACAGCACATCACTACCCTTTTTTGTTGCAAATTCGCTCCTATTACAACTGCATAAGACACAGTATTTACATTGAATAAGTGCCTTCGTCTGTATTTTTTTATTTTAATAAAAACGTAACTTACCAAGATTGGGTTTGTAAAGAGAATTTTTGTGATTGAACTGAGGACAAATTACGGGCAAGTAATATAACTTGAACTTTTCCAGCAGAAACGCGAAACATCTCATGGCCTTGGTGTGAGAGCGATCCCTCCATTGGATTTTAGTGATCGACGTCGCCATGCCATCGAGGAGGATCTCGAAGAAATATTTGGTTTCATTGTCGACTGCTCTCTCGTTAGTACTCGCGGGCAGTAAAGGTTGGATCTCAACCGTTTGTACGGGGTTAAGCGCATTTGTGTCGTGGAATATTGACGCCGAGACGTTTGCGATCTTGCCGATTATGCCAGTGGATGTTTGTTCTACGACGACCTTTTTCGCATTGTCCGCTGCTGAGCTAAAATTTGGGTGTTGCAATATGTCTTCCATACTGAAGTCGCCTGACTCGTGTGAAACATTTGCGGCCACGTCAAAGGGCTTGGCTTTAAGCGGGGACCCTGACGGCTGTATGCACGGCTCAGGTAACCCCGGAACGAGGGAAGCAAACATCCGATGTACTTCGATAGGCGCATTGTCTCCTAGTGCTTGATACCATAACAGGAAATATCTATAAAAATAATGTGCAATATTTAGTGGAAGTAATGTACACAAAATATAGTTATTTCTTCAGCTAGTGTTAAAGTAGCAGTACCTTATAGCCTCTGCTCTTAATTTTTGTGAATTCCAACTATGGAGGAGTTTTGAAAATATTCTCGTCAGCGAATGCAACTGCCATCGTTTCCCGATCAACTCCGGCAGAAGACATAATACTTTTTCTAGTAGGGATAAAGCTCCCTCTAACTCTTCTCTGCCAGCCTTGTGCACTAAAAATTAAAAACACATAAGTATTTATGGAATAAGGTAATACTTGGGGGTTAGTGTTGGTTAATTAAGCCAACCATAAACAAACATCAATCAGCCATACATTAAATCATGACATTAGTTTCAACTTCAAAATAACTACATTCGGGGGTATAATGTCAATGAAAAGTGAATATTCCTATTTACCAACTGGAGATAATATGACAAAAGTTAGTGCCCTTTTTATTACCTGACTATCGAAAGGGAGGATAATATATCTTAAATGATTAATATATCATGCAACTACTGTAAATGATGTAACTATGCAAGGACTGACAATGAAAATAATGTTAGGATGGAAAACTGTGGCAAAGGTAAGGATAATCAACTTTTCAATACTCCATTAATTTAGTTTCAACACTGCAATATACTTTAAAAAATGTGCTCTACTATTGTTTGTTGGCTTAAAAAATTAACTTCCAAGTTATAAAAAAAAGATAATTTATTTACAAAAATAAACTCTTGTGCAAAACCTTTGTTTTGATTTATGAACAGTATAAGTGGTTGTTATCTCATAGTGCAATGATAACAAATCGGATGCCAATGGATAAGCAAGCTCTATGAAACATGATAAGATAGCAGCATCTACCACAATACGGATTACTGAAGTACTATGACAATGACTGAAGGACAAAATAATGATGTTTTATGATCACTCATTGATGTGACTAATATACCCACAACTCACCAAGATGGAAGGGTAGTTCTGTATGGCAAAAAGAAAAATAACAAATAAGTTTTAATACCAATTTCTGTGATGTACAAATTTTGAGAACATAAAATAAAGTACTATCATGCTTTTCTGTTTAAAATCAATCAATAAAATGTGGCAAATTCATTACAAATAAAATCTATGATTAATCTAATCTTTTCCAGATAAAAATGCATTTAGATTAGAATAGGTATTATTTAATTGCAAAAGTTAGATTTTAACAAACTAGGCAATAATTTTTACTACATATACTAAAACTAGACATAATGCTGATTGTTTACTATTTTAGTAGGTCAAAATACTGTTGCAGAAATAAAACCTCCCCAGGGAAGTTTATTAAGCTACAACCTTTAAAACTGTATTTATTTTGGAGAAGTCAAGGCATATTAAGTTAATAGAAAGGACTCATACCTCTTTGGCGCAGGTTGTTTTCTGCTTGAATAAAGTTGTCATACAATATGAAGTAAACATGGCTAAAGTTGTTCTCGAAATATGTTTTGGCTTCATCTGCGTCAAAATGCTCTGTAAATTGTATAAAGGAAGGTAACTAATAACACAATAAAATAAAATTAGTGATTTCACTATGTACTAAAACCTGAAATTAAATAAAACTTTCAAGTCCAAGGAAGCCAATCTAATCATCGATTTGTCGATATTTAAGTATTACTAGATTCTCTTTAAGCTATGTTTCCCATGATATACGCGTTGTTGACCGAGACATGGAAACTACAGTTATTCTCAACTCATTAGCATGTTGCACAAAAAGTAGAGTTTTCAAATGAATTATTGCGAATACTTACTTAATAAGATACAAACAAGTTTTAATCGATCTTACAGTCCCTTAACAACGAAAAATAGCTCACCTAGGACGATTTTTAGATGTTTTAGACGAGTCGCAGAATCCTTTTTAGAATCTTGTATTTTAACCGTTGATTTTTTAACATCTTGGTGAGATTTCTTGGTAAACATGTCGATATTAGTATTATATGGTTATAACACACATCTTTTTCATTTTCACACAATAAAAAACGATAATTTCACATTGTTTTCCTGAGTTTTCACTCCCATTTTGACATTTCATTTACACAAAAATTTCAAGTTGACGTAAACAGCTATAATTTCGTCGTAAAATTTTAATATGTCAAAGGAAATGTTATTTATACAGCCACGTAAGTAACAGAAATAAGTTTTCAAAAACTTTACCAGACAGCTGTGAAGATGGCGTTAGTATAGTTGGTTCTAAATTAGATCCAACCTTTTATTACAGCGATCGACATTAAATCAAACAATCAAATGCAAAATACAATCTTATATTATTTAAAAACTTTGAACGCTTTTTAAATAAATGATTAAACGAACTAAAAAAACTATCTAATGTTCATGACTAAAAACAAAAGCGCCATCTGTAGTTCACTGAATAGTATCCATGAGAATCCTAATGAGAATGGAATCTGAAGAATACTTTTGGGATCATCTTGGAATTAAACTTTGCTATATCCCTCAGGCTATATTATCTGGCTGATGCCTGTGAATTAACTGGTGCGGATTAAATAATAATATCGTCAAATAAAATAATATACCAAATAATATTAAGTAAGTAATTTTAATGTAAACTTAAGTTTCATCAAAATCCGTTCAGTAGATTTTTCGTGAGAGTATCAACTTCACAAATATATTGTAGGAGCATGGTAAGAGATATTCCGCTGTTTACCCAACTGCAATAATGAGAGTATACGATTTGGTTGTAGAATGACCTGCTGCTAGATAGGATACACTAGAAAGGACAATGACCAAAAGTGGTCCAAATGTCCACCACTAATGAGACCTATATTGGCTTATAGTCAATTAAATAGAATTAACTTTCAGTATGGGATGAAAAAAAAATAAGCTGTCAGTAAAAAGTTATGACTGTTTGAAAAATTGTAGTGGTTTACGCGCTAATCTCAGGAACTACTGGTCCGATTTGAAAAATTATTTTTGTTATGGATAATAGCCCATTTATCAAGGATGGTTTTAGATTATATAACATCACCCTACATCCAATAGGGGTGGAGCAGTAAAGACAAATGTTGGAAAAATGGGAAATATTATTCAAACTATTTTCACGCGTACAAAGTCGTAGGCACAGCTAGTATATAATATAATTCATCTATAACCCCGCACCAGTTGGAAAAAAGACTATTTTACCCCTTTCGCATTATTCCAAGTATTCCAATATTGTTGTCTTTCTTCTGAGCTTATTTTTTTTTTCTTTTAGCGAGAACCTAACACGGCATGCGAGATGATAAGCGACATGACATAATTATGCATAGATTAGTCCAAAATGTGCGATGGATAGCATGATATCAAGAACATTTTTCGGATGAAAAGGTGAAAAACACATTGAAGTAATATTACTACGTATACATTATAACTCAATGGAAAAACATGACTTTTCATTCAGTCATAACTTTTTACTGACAGCATATTTTTGATTGCGGTTTGGTTATAATGAATCAGTATTTAGTAGACTATTTTACTACATAGGTCTCGTTAGTGGTGGACATTTGGACCACACTCCATACATTTTTGGTCATTGTCCTTTTCTAATGGGAAAAAAGCGTAGGTCACAGACGTCTTAAAATACTTTTTTTAAACTGAAGGTAACGAGGGAGGTTCTGGGTTCGATTCCCGGTCCAAAACTTTTTTGTTTGTTAGATAATAATTTACCACCCACATAGCTTCTGTGAATGCGAATCAATTGATTTATTTATGGACTGTTCCGTTCTTTTTTAGTTCTTTACTACATTTTTAAATAGATACCACTGAATCCGTATATCGTAAAATATGGGCTCACAAACATTGAATACTACAATTATTGTAGGTTCTATTTTATTGCAAAATCTATAGTTTTTTTTTATTATTATAGAATTTTATAGCTTAAATTCCTTACGGTGTGTGCAATAAAAAATGAAAGTATGATACAATGATGTCCACCGCTTTCTCTTTAGTTCAATGTGCGAAATAACCAAAACAACTTAATATGCAGAGGATACGCGTGAGGTTTGGTTTACCCACTCATTTTTATCATAAACTTGTTTTTAATATTGTGAGGATGACGTCGTGCGGTTATTTCTACATAATCGGAGGAGCGCTCACTAGTTTGCCTCAAGATCCGTAATTACACACTCGTGCACCATGTTTATATTGATTCAACTAGTCGACGTATAAATATTATTTAAAAAGTCTCCTGTGACTGTGAATTATTATTCAAATTAGCAAATTCTTGTGTATAATAGTTAGCTTTAGACAGTGACATTAAGTTCATAATGCAATACATAATTAGTGTTTTTATCGGATGCCTGTTGGCCGCTGCAACCGCACAAAATAATGACACAAAAACCTCGATTGGCTTTCCTGAGGTAGACGAAGATATATATTCAAAGAACAAAGATGTAAGTTCAGATTTTATTTTATTTTTATTAGTGTTAGCACTTATTTTGAACAAACCCTTTAACGCTGAGAAATAGCAATCAAAGTTAGGTACTATTTACGTACTTAGTTAAGAATTACAACTTCCAATAGAACTAAGTACTAAGTATGTACCTAAATATGTAACGAGTTTCCAGGTGCAATTCTTCTTACCTACTTACGCCTTAATTAATAAAGCTATTGAAACAGGAATATTTGTATACCTACTAAGAAAGTAATTGAAGTTTAGTTTACACTATCGTTGGTAGGGGTTGGTTATCGTAAAGAAAAGTTGATATAATCACTTACGTAGTAGTAAGTTTAGTGGAGATCAAAGTTCATAATTGATAAAAAATATACGGAAGGTCATGTTATACTTACCTAGACTCTCTAAACTTACCTACTCGTAACTTTTAAGTTACGATCCTGCTGAAAAGAAAACAAAGTAGGACTTAGTTGATCATTATTTGGGTACCGCCCTGACACCTAACAAAACATCCTGAATATCATTCAATTGTGTAGTGAAAAAAACGTAATTACAATCACACAAGTCCACAATAATTTCCGATGGTAACAAAAAATGCAAACAAAAATCAATTATCCACGTCTAATTCGTAATTTGTACTTAATTACCATGTCTATATTTTTTTATGAAACACAAGGATATAAATCATTGGTCCAAGAATGATAAATAATAAGTGCAAACCGTTATAAATGGTGATCTGAACTAACGATACCTCTGGGCTCAAAGGTCGTAAAGGACAAAGTACGACTTTTCAGGAGAAGCAAAAAACGATTTTTTATTTTTTTATTCGACAGTAACTTTTTTGTTTTTCGAGCTATTAAAATATGACCTAAGAAGAAAGTGCTAAGAATTTACAGCATTTTCCGAAGAGGTATTGAAAAATTGGACTAGAGCTGTATTTACTGAGATAGATTTCCTTTACGCCCTCAAAATTACATTAAAAAGACCTTTACGCCCCTCAAATATTCGTCCTAGGCAAGTTGCTCAGGACGTAAGTCTATTTTTATTTTACAAAACTACAAAACCAAGGTAATAAATGACAATTTACATAGTTTTATAGGTTTTCACAGGTCGTAAACGGAACATCCAGGTAAGGTATTATGCAAGGAAAAATTGATAATTTAGCTTAAATATTTAATGTTTTATGGTATTTGATATGTAATATACCATTTCTTCACATATTTAAATGAATTATGTTTGTTTTTAATGAAATAAAATGATTTTTCGTAGCTTCATAATTTAATGCACACAATTTTAGAAACTATTTAAGCAGAAGTTTTGATATCTTCGAACTGGAAGATACCATTTCCGATATAAGAGCGAATTTAGAAAATAAATATTATGACGCTTTTAAATAAAACTTCTTAAATGTCTACTTTTTACGAAAAGCCGAAACCAATTTGATTTTATTTATTTATTTCATCATTATTAATTTTTCGAAAAACTACAAATGGCGGACTTAATTCCATAGGGCAGTCTGTGAACCAGTTGACCTTATGATAATGCAGATAGGATAGAATTATTAAGGACAAAGGAAAACCAAACTAGTTATTCTAAATTCTAAATAGATTAAACATTATTATTCATAGTAGCTAGAAATTATGTTATTGTACTTGGTACAAAAGTAGAAAGGTTAAGTAAGTAAGATTACAAGTAGGAAGTTTTTCATTCCAGTAAAGTACATCCACTTACTTTACTCCTACATAATACCGTTTTTAAAAGCCAATTATTTTGTAGTATAAAAATATAACTTCGAAAAAAAGTGCATTCACGCTTTTTAGTAGATTGAAGTCTCAACTGACACTATATTTTCCCATGTTGTGTAAATATTTTTCCTGCTAGTTATATTTTATTAGCTGATCCAAATAACTTTAGAAACTATACTTATTTATTATAATTATTACAGTCAAAACTCAAAAGTGGTTTTGACCGAGGGCGTTAGTCAAAATTACTAGGAAATCATTAAAAACAATTGTAAAATGTAGCATTTTTGTGATTTGTGCAATGTGCATACAAAATAATGACACCTTACGGCCGGTTCACACATGTCTCCGTTTTACTGTTCCGTTTTATGTTATTGTACTTGACGAAAAAAAAACGTACACGATAAAACGAAACAGTAAAACGGAGACATGCGTGAACCGGCCGTTGAGGTACTACAGTAAGGTGACTTTTTTTTCATAATATTCTTAACAAATGTAACTTTTTCATTTTTTCAATTTTTATGATGACTATCCTACCTTAATTAGGTAATACGTTATTTTATAGCATGTTTTCATTTTCTTAAATCATCTTTTAAAATTATCTTTTTCCCTGACAAATACCTAGTTTCTTCAAATATGAGAAATAATAAAAAGCAACATTACTTTACCCGATGTGGGTAGATGTCATCATTTTATATGTACAAATCACATAAATGTTACACTCTAAAATAGTTTTATTACATATTTTTGATGATTTTTTATTTCTTTCGTTTGTTCCAAACGCACATACTTAAATACAATAAGAAACATCTAATAAATTTACCTTTTCAGTTATTTTAATATCCTCTCTTTGTAGATTTTTAAAATATTTGTTTAGATAATCTAAGGGCGTAAAGGACAAATTATTTAAACTTTGGTATGAAATGTTAGGTTATACGCCCAAAAATGTGTGTTTACTTGTTCTTTACTACCATAGTAACTATACTAAAAAATCAAATGTTATTTACATCCCAATTTTCACGACGAATTCTGTTTAGCTTATCAAAAATGATGGGTCGTAAAGGCACTTTTTTTGGGATTTTCGACAAACTAAATATACAGATCGATAGAGAATGAAATTCTGAGTAAAACTGTATAAATAACTCATTTTCGGTATTTTGTCCTTTACGACCTTTGAGCCCAGAGGTATCGATATGTATATTTAATGAATATTTACGTTTAGAAGAAAAAAGTAGGTAGGTAGGTAAGTACATGCTAACTTTTAGAGATAATATGGCGATAATAGTCACTGTCGTTTTTTGGGCTGCCGATTTCAGATGCCAGGGTCGGTAGTTCGAGTCCTATCGCCGGTGAACTAAATTGTGGTTTAACAAATTACTAACTACTTACCCTTACCCTTTAAGAAATCATGTTTTCTTTACAGAATCGACAACCTGTGTATATGCCCTCCACTTGTGCAGTCAATGAACTATACTACCCAGGCGATCAAAAAGACGACTGGATTTGTGATTGTAGACCAGGTATTGGCATTTTGATGTTAAATCTACATCTAATGTTAAATGTAATCTAATCGTACTTGAATTATTATGACTCTCGTATTAAGCGATTGGATAAATAATAGAAACCTCCGTTTCTTACAGCATACATATACCACCCACCGACAGATCAATGCTGGGGTGCTTTTCAACGCGGTCCATGCGCGCTTGGGGAGTACCTGATCCTGCCGAAAGACTCAGTCGTTCCGGTGTGCTCGAAGAACCCATGTAACGTGGACCAATACGTCTACTGGGGCAACCAATGCGAGCGTCTGGGCTCCATAAACGCATGCACCCACCTGTACCCGATCATGGCAGCAGTGGGTGTGAACGCTACCACATTAGAAGTCAACTGCGTCATATTAAATGTGGAATCGAGATTCGGCGAGGATCGACCAGTGCCGGTGCAGAAAGCGTGCAATCCAGGATCTAAATTGAGAGTCACTGGCAAATGTGATAAATAAATTTTATTAATTAGCTGGACTACGTCTATTTTTTAATAATTTAGGCTGGGTTGCACCAATATATTACTTTAACTTTAACAAACGTCAAAAATCTGTCAAACTCCATACAAAAACACCGGTTGACGATATCAAAGTTAGGTGATGCAACTCAGCCTAAGTCATACAAGTACCTTCCACCGTTGCGTTGCCTCCCACTATGTGACTACTTATGGATGAAAAAGCACTTTGGGCAGACTTTCTAGGACTCTACCATTATTTAAATACTGTTTTAACCTGCTGATACTTCACAATGTTAGATAGAAAAATAAGAAGTCATAAAATTAAGTAAAGAAGGAAAAGTTTATCAATGAAAACAATTTTATTACCATAAAAACGGCTAAGAAAATGGGCTCACATAGGCGCTGCCGCATTATCAGCACGGCCCGCATAATTGTCTAGTGGCAGCAGAACACTATTACCATAATAATAATGACGAACAAAATGCAATGTTTACTTTTTTTTTACTGAGCGAGTTATGTGATGGAATGGAAGTTTCTTACTTGAATCTACCTAATTCAGAAGCTTAATAAAGGGTCGTGCAACCCTACTTTAACAATAACAAGCGTAGAAAAATCTCTTAAACTTCATACAAAAAACACCGGTTATCATTATAGTTACGGTCAAAGTTAAACTTGAGTCTATTCTTGAGTAGATTACTTAATGTTTGGTCTCAGAATACTTAGGTCCAGAGAAAAATATGTCAGAAGTAAAACCGGGTCTTAATTAAACTGAAGAAGAAGAAGACTGGTAGAGAATGCCACCCGGCTTAAGTCCGCCACTGTACATTACTTTTAAGTGTAAGACATAAATACTATTATATTGGGTTAGCCTGTAACAATAGTCAATGTGTGTGTATGTAAATAAATAAATAAATAAATTTTATACGCAATTCGCGGTCTGTATACCTAGGCCTGAACATAACGACCAAAACTTTTGTAACATATTTTATTCATAAATTGACAACACCTTCGGTCATTTGGTGGTGCCTACAGCTAATCAATTGATTAAACCGACTCATGCCTACCCAAAAATAAAAGTAATTTAACGATTATTACGGCTTACCGAGGGGTTGATGCTTGAACTATGGAAACGGTATTCGCGTCCGACACGGTAACCATGGCAACTTTTGTGCCTGCACCTGTCACTGGCGTTTATTTACCAATTAGTTGATCGGATATGGAGTTGTCCACACGTCTAAATTCGATTTTAGTGACGAATTTAATTTATAAAAAATATAGCGCAGTTCTAGTTGATAGTTTGGTAACGAACTGCTTATGAGATAGGATGTGAAAGTGTTAACATAATAAATATTTAAAAAAATAAAACTATTAAGTGCATAGTGACGTAAAAGTGGACTTATTATGATAATTAATTTCGGTGAGTAATAAAGTTGGATGCAATTTTACCGATTCGCAGAAATAAGCTATAGTTAGTTACCTACTTTTGAAATGTAATGGCTATGTAATATTTTAACTTGATCAAGTTATTGACGTCTAAAGTAAGAAGAAACTCTATCCTAAAGTAAAAAAATGCAGAATTTTATGAAGTAGGTATTAAGTTATTATTTTAAAAGTATGTTTTTAACAGCATGGCACTTTTTTTTAACTTTGAAATTTCGCATAACGACCTAAATTAGTATGCTCCTATTTGACTAATTCCTAAACATCGATTGTTAAAAGTTGGTCGTTGGACTCGACCTGCATTTCGGTGCTGGGCCGTTTTACCGCTAACCATAAGCGACGTTTTATAATCATAAAAACCGGCTGGCTACGTGAGTTATAGCGACGGCCGGCTGATCGTTTAATTTACATATAAGTAATCGGGCGCGAGCTTGCCCTTATCGCGATCAATCACTGACCCAGATTCGCGCCCTGACCACCACCAACAGTTACCGAAGCTGATTAGTTCGACCTTCGCCACTTTACCCGCTTCGCCCGCATGGCTGCTGACCGCAATCTTACTCCAGATTTCCAAGATTTATGACTTATATTCTGGGTTTCTTGACAAATCCAGGTTAACTCGCTTTTTAAGCTTGACTTATAAAATGCTCATTAAAAGAAGAACCGTTAAATACGGTGAAAATAATACGAAATATAAACGTGTGTAGTGTAATAATGTTGAGCGCCACGCCATTTCTTTTGAAAACAATTAAAATTGTAAAGTTCTGAGATTCGTACGATGTTGTCTTTTGTTCAAGTGAAATAGAACTCTATCCAAGAATTTAAAATTCAATGTGTACCTATGGGTATGTGTGCTTATCACTTGGCCAATGACTCGCATTATCTTAAAATTAGTAGTTAATGCTCTTTGACATCCATCGTTGTATAATTGTTTTGGTTTAATGAAATCATTCAATCAATCAAATCAATTGAAATCATTCGTAACGAAATATTACATGAAGGTAGGTACGACGCACTACATAATATACTTATGTCCGTATCACCATTATTCCCTATTTTTTTAAAAAAGTGACCCCTGTGAAAACAAAACTCCTGTTAAGTGTTACCATAGGGGTCACTTAAAAAGTATTTTTTAAGGATTGATGGTGAAAATGGGCATTAGTATTCTGTAAAATTCAGATTATAGTAGGTACCTACCTAAAAACAAAGGTAACACAGACACTGCTGGTAAGATAGGTAAGTTGTAGGAAAAGTCCTTATTTTCATTCATTAGATATCCATTAGAGAATTCTCAGTAATTAGCATGGGTAATTTATGATGACAATATGTAGATAAGGTACAATAACTGCGTACACATTTCAATTGAAATCAAACAGGAAAAATCCTCGTAAACTGTTAAGCCCCAAAGATTAATTTATGGTAAGATATAAATAGTTAGTACTAAAAAGAAGTTGATTTATTATTGCGTGCCTACTTAGCTATCCATCATTTTCTGTAAAGTAAGTAAGTAGAAGGTACCTACAAAGAGATAAATGAGCCCCTCATAACTTAAATGGGCTCCTTTATTTTTGTACTGCTACCATTTGGTTCAAATTACCATGAACTTCTTTGAATTGAATATTGATAGAAATTCAAAACATTCAGCAAATGTTTTCGAACGAAATCTAAGACCCACCCACTGAATATTTAATTAGAAAAATTGCATCTTTGCCTAGAGACGAGGTAGGTTGCTTGGCAGTAGGCTATTCCTCACTAATAATTGTGGTGATGGCCTAGCAAACCAATGTCTGAGGGGGGACGCGAACGAATCCTAGAGGCAACTGGCAACTTTTAACATGTCTCCTGAAGGCATCGTCTGCAACTTCTAGGCACCTAGCCTAGTGGTTAAATTCCTACAGAACTCAATAGTTTATTTCAGTAAGGAATGCAGTTTATTTTTTGAAAGATCAAGCTGTCTTCCAAAAGGCAATATTCTTAAAATACTGGTTGGCGAAGTATCTCTGTAGCATTCACTCACCTTACAGGCTACCTCGTGGAAAAGAAGGTGTTTCTTAGATTTTTTCACGCGGCACGAGGTTGGACGGTCAGAGCTTGAGCCATGACGTGTCAAATCTTGACGTGGACGCGGTGGGAGTAAATATCGTCGGAACTAGGTCGATACACGGCCTACTTTGCACATAAATTACGCGCTTTACTTTCCATAAAATATATTAGAAAACAGCAGCGCTGGAACTAACCCATTTTCTGCATTTTAAACATCATTAGCGAAAGTTCAAAACAACTTCGTCCACGCTTCACATTTTTAACTGGACAAGTTGTAAAGTGTCTAACAACTTCTCCCTGTCCTGTAAGTTAAATGTGTTTGTAAACTTTAAATTTATTAAAATAGTTGCGTAGTTAAATAATGCTTAAGCTATCATCACAAAGCCACTTTATAAGCCCTTTATACCCTTTATAAAGCCAGCCTAGCCAGTCGCCTAAAAGGCTTTCCACTATTCCGATGACAATCCCCGTTAATGCCAATTGGAGCATTTGGAGCTTATAATGGGGATTATTAATCCCCGTTATACTTATTAGGATTTTATTTCTAACGGGGATTATTGTCAATAGTGGAATAAGCCAAACTTTCTAAGTGTCTTACTAAAAATTCAATATCGAGATGAACGCAGGTTCGATTATACGTTACTAAGGTACGTTTATCGTTTGTTTTGTACAGTAATTTCTTTACTCGGGTAAAGCATTGATGTTTACAGGAAATAACTAAGGTATACTGTAAAATAACGGAAGTCATAATACTCGTAAGTCATTCATTTAAATAATAATTATGACAAAACACGGATGACATTCTCGACGCGGGTTACCTAGGTTTATTCACTTTTAGAAACTCGCTTGCATCATCCTGATTATTGGAAAATAAATACCGGACCACTGAATAAATAACTAGTATGAAGTCAGAAGAGTGTTTACTTTAAAGACCAATATTAAGGGTTTAAAATAATATAAATGTAATTTCACAAATCGATTGTCATTTAAAACTCTGCTTTAGCTAGTACGTTTCGAAAATCCTTGTTGTACCTACCTAACCTAGACAGGAAGACGCAGAAATAATATCTGCTGCAGAATCCTTATTTTTTCTTAAAGGATACAAATATTATCGTTTTGGGCTTTATAAATTGGTCAATGTCACTTCTTTGTGACTTCATATTTGTGATAACTAATTTGTAAAGCTAGAGTGAAGTGAACTAAGTGAAGATATCGCGTGGTTATGCGCCGTCTTGGGCGAGCTTTAAAATGCTTGCACGCTAATGTTCTCGTGATTTACTTCATCTATAGGTACTCCACAAACGGACAGCTGAGTCCTATGTGCCACATGTCCATTTTTGTTTGCAAAAATTTTCATACTAAATTCAGCTATCTGAGTCATTCGGGGTAAGAGAACGCAGTATTCCACTAATTGACTCTACAATGTAAACAGTACCAGTATCTAGAATTATATGAAAACTTAAAATAATTCTTAATTACTTTTTTTATTCACATGAAATTGGGTGAGACTCTAAGCTGCAGCGACATTGGCAAACCT